TTGTACTTTTAATCATGTTTGTGCAAAGTGGATTGTGGCTGTAACTGGGCTTTTGAGTGTTTGGTTGTGTCGTTTATAACCTGATGTGTGTTTCATGTATTAATGGTCCAATGAAAATGAAAGTTCATTTGCTTTAATGAAGAATTAAGTTGGAAAATTCTTTTACTTAGCCTATTCATGGGTTTCTTTAAAATATATGTCATCTTTCTTGAGCAATCATGTATTCAAACTTTCTGAACTGAAGTGTACCTAGTTGGCCCCAGCTACAACCTTCTTTACTTGGACTAATTGCTGATTTTAATTTTTAAGCATTTTTACTGTTCATCATGGTATCAAATCGAAATAATTATGCTTCCTGCTAATGCATCTCTTGTTCCATCTTGCTTAGGAGATTTTCTATAAAGTAGTGAAACGGTTGATAATGTAGCCACATGAGGAAAAATCAATGTGTTAGGAAGGGAGCCCTTGGAGTACAATGAAGTATGGAGATCCTGTTGATGGTCAATATATTGACCTGTGTTTAGCTTTCTTTGATTCTGAGTTTTAGTTTGTTTTTTCAAAACTTAAATTTTGAGTTTGAAGATGGTCTTGTAAATTTACAGAATGGTAAACAAGGGGGTGGAGGTTGCTTCCCTTTTTCTTTCATTAAAGTTTATCCTCGTAATGATCAACATTTTGACCTGTGTTTTAGCATTCTTTGATTCTGAGTTTTAGTTTGTTTTTCCAAAACTTAAATTTTGAGTTTTAAGATGGTCTTGTAAATATACAGAATGATAAACAAGGGGGATGGGGGTGCTTCCTTTGTTCTTTCAGCTTTAAAATTTATGGTGTACAGATCCAGAAGCTTTACTTGTAATTCTCTGTTCGTACTGCTCTTTTAGAGCCATCTTTTAGTTGCAATTTTATTGATATCCAATCAAGATCGTTTCTGATGTATTCAGATAGCGAGAATGCTCCATCACATCTCTTTGCACATAATGCTAATTAAACCTATTAGCTACAACATATAGTTTGTCAATACTTAAAATCCTATCTGTTAGATGTGAATTGTTCATATTTTGCATGTTTTATGTAGATTGAATGAAAGAAAATAATATTAAAAGTGTAATGCAATACAGTTACTATTTGGTAATTCAGTGGCCTTTTCTTTTGGCCAAGGTTGAGGGTGTTAGTTGATGTAAAATTTTGACATCTTTTCTCTGTGTGTTTGTTTGTTTAGACACTGAGGCTCCATTTGGTTGATGTTATTATGATTTGCTTTCTGTTCACAAAAATTAAATAGAAAAAAGAGAGAAAAAAAAAGACAATTAGCAAAAACATCAACGAAATGGAGTCTGAATAATCTACCCTTTTCTGGTATTTTTGTATTTAATGGTCCTCTGCTACATCTACTTTGAATTGCTTCATGATTACTGTGATGTTAGGATGTTGTGTTTTTACCTATTTACCTTTGCAAATGTCCTTTGAGCCACTTGGCATGGCCCTCTTGCGAAAATTAAGAGGTATTTTCAACATGGATTTTAAAACAGGTATCGGGTGAGATTAACAATTGGTTTTAGAGAAATTATCCTTCTGAATATAAGACTTCTGTTCGTGTTTTATTTTCTATTATTGTTGGCAAAAGCTTGTGCACTTATATGTGGTTTTACATTTACTTTTTCATGTGGGTACCTGGTTTATGATTTTTTAATGTTATAACTCGTTTTTGTTTATTGTTTGTTGTCATTTATAGAGGACCACATACCAATTGGAAGGTCCTTTTAGTTAACATTAGCAGATTGGTTTAGGGTGGATTTGTTTTTCCAATCACTGGACAGTTTAGTGTTTACTTCTACCAGCTGTGGGCAAAATTGTTTTTCTTTCATGGGTCACATTTGCAAAATATTTTTGATATTTACTCTAGGAGAGTTTATTTATACTCGTATGATATATTTGGTGCTTATTGCAATTGGAGTTTGGATGTTAACCCAAACAAGGAGAGAACAAAGAAGAGGCAAAATCAAGATGATGAAGGAAGAGAGAACTAGGGAGACCTTGCTCATTGCTGCAGCTGGTGGTCATGCTAGGTTGGTAGCTAGTAAGATGCATATTACTCTCTCTCTTTGTCCTACTTGGTTCGATATTAGTTATTGCTGCAAATTGGGTTGACTTCATCGAAATCTGGATTGCGGGTTTTGTTGGCTGATTGTGCAAGAGATGAACCGACACTTGAGCAGTTATATTAGAATGGATTCTGCCATTACAATTAGGATCATGCAGTGCATTACTAACGGAAGCAATAATGACTTACTGGGCGGTTATGAGAATTTAAGGAAAAAAATGCAGCATAAATCACATTTAGTTTTAGATGTTATAGGAGCAGGAGTTTAGACAAAAACCTTGAAGGATCCTGGGAAGTTTTAGAGAAGTAATGAGAGCTATTAGAAGTTTGTGATGATTTGATCATATGCTGTGATTTAAAATGGGGAAATAGCTTTGTAGTGCACTTGGATGGAAGATCTGGCAGGACATGTCTTTGCAGTCTACTTCAAAACATTTCTTTAACAAATCATGCATTCCACTTACTCCATATGGTATAAAACACACATGACTTATGACACATTCTGATTTGCATATGTCAGTGTTCAAGTTATTGTGCTTCTTATCTTATTTGATTTGATGGCTGTGGTGTCTACTTGTATAACATGTTTTTCCTGCTCATTGTTACAGTATTTTCCCAAGAAAGTTGGTTCACCGAGGAAGACTGAGATCATGTTCATTGCACCAACTGGGGAGGAGATTAATAACAGAAAACAGTTGGAGCAGTATCTAAAATCACACCCAGGTAATCCCCCAATAACAGAGTTTGATTGGGGTACTGGTGAGACCCCTAGAAGATCAGCAAGGATCAGTGAAAAAGCTAAGGCTACTCCAACACCAGAGAAGGAACCCCCAAAGAAGCGAGGCCGAAGATCATTGAGTGCAAAGAAGGAAAACAAGGAAACAGAGGCTGTTCCTGAAAAAGCTGAGGGTGAGAAAGGAAGTGAAAAGCAAGATACTCAAGCCATTGTGAAGGAAACTGCAGAAGGTGAAAAGGAAAAAGATGGGGAGGTAAAACAGGTTGAGAATGGAGGTAAAACAGAAGCAGCTGGCCTGACTGGGGACTGTGATGCCATGATGGAGGAACCTGGGGAAGAAGCAGCTGGTAAAGATGTTAAGATACCAGATACCGCAAAGGATGACAAAAAGGATGAAGCTGCTGGTACTGCAGAAAACCCAACGTCGATGGAATTTCAAGAGAAACGTGCAGAAGCTAGTTGCACTGATGGAACTCAAACCGAAGAAGAAAAGGTGGAAGCCCCTATTGAAAAGGTGCCACAAACTCAGGCAGAGAAAGAGAATGGTACATGTGAGAAACAATCTGAAAACCCTGAAACTGTTACAACGGAAGTTAATGGGGGAGTAGAGAAGGGGAATCCATATGGAGCAACCTTTATACCTGAGGGAGAGGCTAAAGAGAAACAAGGTGTACAGGAGGTTTCTGGCAAGTGTAACGTTCAGGTAGAGGAGAAAGGCAAGGCAGTGGATGGGGAGTTGATTGAAAATGGCAAGGTTGGGCAAGCTGATGCCCCACAACCTCCGGGACCTGCTCCCATAAGCTGCTAAATGTACCATCTATTATCGTAGCTATCCTGTGGTACTGCTTTTTTGTATTTCCCTGTGTAACCTCTATGATTCCATGGATGACTGTAACATTAATGCTGTTGATGCTAGATTTGATTGTAAGTAGGGAAATCAACCTATATCCCTGTAAGAAGTAGGTTTTGAACAGTGCAGCTTTTGTTACGTTGTGTAGAACTTAGATTGTAGGCACCTGGAACTCATAACTTATGTTAGTGGCTCAAGTTTAAAGTTGGACATGACATGTTATGTGGATTAACAGCATCGTGTATACTTAGATATTTCTGTTTAGACAATATGCGCAGATGTTTGCTTTTCAGATTTTAGTATGATTTCTATGAAGGAAAGATAGGACATGGAGAAATGGTGCTAGAAAGAAGGGCAGTGGCAGGAAGGTGACATCGTCTTTGTCGCTGTCCTGACTTGTGGGAATCATTTCCATCATTCCTGGCGTGTGCAATCGCATCTTTTAGCACTTGTTTAAACATTCAACTTTGAAACCTCCTGGTTAAATCATGTAACAAGTATACCAACAGCGATATTCCTGCTAGGCCCTGTTTAAATCTCTTGTTTAAAAGAAGGGTAAGAATCAGACTTATTGTTCTCAGGATCTTTTTACATAATTGTTCAAAAGACAATGTTGATAACCCCTTGATCCTGAGCATCGCCATCTTTGATGGAAGTAATTGTGATTTCTTACCAAAAGTATTCCCTACACAGAATATTGATCAGATTTCGCAGGAGCAGTACGTAGTGGTGCGCTCATGGTTAATAACGCACTTAAAAGAAGTGAACTAGGCCCTTCTGCTGAAGGTTTCGGCAACTGATGACGTTAAGGTAGGGAGAGGATCTCAGCATTTTTTAATTACATTTTGCTCTATTCAAAGGGTCAGGTTTTTCCCATATGATAAATAATCGCTCTAATGATCACTAGAATATTCAAATATCATAGTCGAACGGGTGCAGCCGCCTATGAAGCTGCTCCTCTCCTAGCTTAAGCAGCTCAATAATCATGCCACCTCACCTCCATAATGCAAAAGCTACAATCAAAAGCCAACCTTATTTCCGTCATCAAGCATGGCTCACTTCTCCTCCTTTCCGAAGAAAGGTATGCATAAATAGTTATTCAACTATCCATCCGCATGTATAGAACTCATCATGTTTATGAACAGACAAACCCAAGAACAGAAAGTTGCAAAAAAGGCATGCTTTGAGAGTAAAGTAAGAATCTATCAGTTTTTGATCTTTGGGTTAAGGTTAAGTATCTTCTTCTTCATTTCTCAGGTCTGTTTGGGACATCATCTTTAAACTAAGGTTAAGAATCTTTTCTTGGGTGGTCTATGGGCATGCCTGCAGAACAAGTATTGCATTCTTTTTGCTTCCGCCTTTTTAGTCACAAAAGACTGGAATATATCCCCACCTCCTTTCTACAAATGGAATGAACTTTCTTTCATTATCTCGCTACATCTCACATGGGTTCTACTCTCTTTGTTTGGCTCCTCCTCATCTTCTCTGTCTTATGTTCTCCCGGTTTGTACCTTTCATTTCTTATGTTAATACGTACTGAATAATTAAGATAATTGGTGTAAGTATCATAATATAGTTTGTTCACCAATAAGGTTGCTTTGATTTATTCCATTAATTATATCGTTTGGAAATTGTATTTTAATCTCTTTTCATTATAACTTATATAGGCTACAGCTGAGTTAATGAATTACTCCGGCTTTCATGGGTTGAATCGGACATTCTTTTGTCGTTGAATCATTGCTTTATTTTGATTTTCTTTGCACTTCTGTTGTCACTATCATTTTTGTTTTTCTTTCTTTCAAAATTATATTGTAATGCACATGAAATGTTCTGATAGCATTACTGAAATCTATTCTTGGTTAATCTGGATGTCTTGTACAAACCTAAAGCGAAGGAAGGCAGGATTCTGCCTCCCAATAGCAATAGCTTTTGTAATGACTGTGCAGTCATGTCATGCAGTTGCAGCAGCACATTCAGTCACATGGACCTATGGAGTAAATTATGGCAGAATCGCAAACAATTTACCGGCACCCGAGAGTGTGGTGACCCTTCTAAAGGCAGCGAAGATAAATCACATCCGAATCTATGATGCTGATCATGGAGTTCTGCAGGCCTTTAAAGGGTCTGGTATAGAAATTATAGTTGGACTTCCCAATGAGTATTTGAAAGAAATAAGTATGGGGGAGGATCGAGCCATGAATTGGGTAAAAGAAAATGTACAGGCATTCCTTCCTGGAACTCGTATTCGAGGAATAGCTGTGGGAAATGAGATATTAGGTAGTGGTCCTATAGAACTTTGGGAGGTTTTATTGTCTGCAGCAAAGAATGTTTACAGTGCTCTTTACAGGTTGGGTTTACAGTCTACTGTTCAGGTTTCAAGTCCACATTCAGAGGCTGTATTTGCCAATTCCTACCCACCATCTGCCTGCATCTTCAGACCTGATGTTCTTCCATTCATGAGGCCACTTCTGCAGTTCTTCTCTCAGATTGGTTCTCCATTTTATATAAACGCATATCCATTTCTAGCCTATAAGAATGATCCTGAGCATATTGACATTAACTATGCCCTATTCAAAGATAATGCCGGCATTTATGACGCAAAGACCAAGCTACACTATGATAACATGTTTGAAGCTCAGGTCGATGCAGCTTATGCTGCACTGGAAAAAGCTGGATTTCCAAAGATGGAGGTCATTGTTTCTGAAACTGGTTGGGCTTCTCGTGGGGATCCAGATGAAGCAGGTGCCACACTTAAGAATGCAAGGACTTACAATAAGAATTTGCGTAAACGGCTAGCCAAAAAGAAGGGTACCCCCTTTAGGCCAAAGATGGCTGTGAGGGCTTATGTTTTTGCCCTGTTCAATGAAAACTCCAAGCCTGGACCAACCTCTGAGAGAAACTTTGGATTGTTTAAACCTGATGGAAGCATAGCCTATGATATTGGATTCACTGGACTTGTACCTTCTGCAGCAGCCTCCTCATTTCTCGCTTTTAAGGTATGGTTTTCCTTCTGACTGCCTATCTAACATTCCAATTTCATCAATCATGACTGGGTTTAGAGTTATGTTTTGCCCATTTTTTTAATTCATTTTCCTCCTCAAATTCATTTTCCCAACATTGTTTTTTCTTGCAGGATCTTGCAGTTCAAGGTTCGTTTTTCATGGCTTGGGCTGTGGTTCTACTGCCGAGTTTAGGCTTGTAAATAGTCACACGACTTGTTGTATAGCAATATTCAAGAATAACCAATTCAATTTTTTTCTTCTTGTAATGAACAATCATTCTTGAATTAATTGATGACCCAAAATTGCTAATGCCCTTTGCTAACATCTTCAGCAATTGATCACCAATATAGCTTGCAAATTAAAAGAAAAGAGAGAGAGGGAGAGAGAGAGAGAGGAAGAATCAATTACACAGAAAAAAAGAACTATATGATATCCACTATTTGGATTGAATGTTTCAAAATCTCAAACATTTTAATCATATATAATTTGATGTGTCATGGATTTATGTTGATGCTTTGGTGAATCCAAATATAATTTTTATTTTCTAAATCAATTAATGAAAGTCTGAAATCCCAACAATCTTCGATAAAAAAAAAGATATAAAAACATTCTTTCTTTCTATATCATAGATCTTATATTTGTAATACTTTATCTATCTAACAAATATGTTTTTTGAATTAAAAGTCTCTATACCTTTTACTTAACGCGTACTTTGATGACTTGAGATCGGATGCAAAGAATTAAGTAAAGGAAAATACATAAATAAAATTGTACAATACGTACTTTTTCAAAGAACAAGAATTGTCAAAGGAGGGCAAGATGCAGTTAGAGCCAAGAAGATTCGTTGGCATTAATGAGCAAAGAGTAGTCCTTGTTCGGTACCCCAAAGTCTTTGCTATAGGAAGAAAATTAATGAGAGATTGAGATGACCCAAGAAAGCTTCAAACTTATAAAAATCCTCCAACAAGTAATTTACTTGAATTTTTTTTTTAAAGTTTTGTTGACTCCAAATGACAGGGAAAATATACAAAACACTGGAATTTTTCTTCCATAGTTGAAGACTTTGACATGGTTTAACATTTTTCTAACCAGGACATGTGCAAGTTTAGGGGAAAGTCGTTGCATACCGTCCATAACAATTCGAGTCTTCACTAATTTTACCTCTATTTGACTCAATAATTCATGCATATTTTGTCCAATTAATGAAGAAAAGTACTTGTAATTTCAGAAGAAGTTCTAAGTCATGGCGAGAGGGTCTAGCAATTAATGGCAGACTGCTCTTGGTTGAGACTTTCTACCTTGGGTCACACGCGTACAAAGCAGACCGGTGTTCATGCTTTTAGTCTACATTGGTGCTCGCCCCCGTCTCCTTCTTTTTCCATGTCAACCCTGCGTTTACGTTAGCTCTGTATATATAGGCTTACAACCCTCTCGTATATCTCATCACTCAAGGTATTAAAAATTAACATTGAGATATAGCTAGAGAGATAGTATAGTTGCAAGAGATCAATGGCAAGGTTCATGTGCATGGCTCTTGTCAGCATCGTGGCCGCGGTGTCTCTAATGCAATGCGCGGCGGCGCAAACGGTGCATGTGGTGGGGGCCGACATGGGATGGACCGTTCCCCAGAATGGTGCGGCCGCATACAGCACTTGGGCGGCTGGTAAGAGGTTCATGGTTGGTGATATTTTGGGTAAGAAAGCTCTCTTTTTTTAAGTAATTTTCATAAAGACTTGATACGGCAAAATAATTAACGTCATCATTGTTTTCATATTTTTAAAAAAATTTAATATACTAATAAAACTTAATTTTTATAAAATAAACAAGATAGGATTTGTAAATTAAGAATATAAATTGATAAAATTAAATCACTTTTTACGTATAAAATAATAATAAAGATATTAAAAAAAATAGATCACTAATTATTAGATGAATGAAAAGCCACAAACATAATATGAGAAAATAAATGTATAACAACGGTGCGAGGTCGTGGGATATGACAAGATCAACGTGTCTTTAAGACTGAAAACAAGTCTTCTATTTTCATTTAAGTTAAAAGACTTGTTTTAGTATTAAGTACGTTTTTGATTAATATATATATATCATTTTTTTTAAAAAAATATAATCGTGTTTAATTTAGGTATTATAAAATCCTCGGTATCACTTTGATAGTATCTATGTTAATAATCTTTTAATTTGATGAAAATGCTTATTTTAACCATTATAATAACAAGCAGTCTAATTTCCATGGGTTAACATTTTCGCAGAGTTCAATTTCGCAACAACTGCGCACGACGTGCTGCAAGTCCCCAAGGCATCGTTCGATGCATGCAGCAGCGACAACCCTATTGGAAACACGATCACCGTCGGTCCGGCCAACGTGACCCTCACCTCTGCCGGTGAAAACTACTTCATTTGCACATTTGGCCAGCACTGCCAATTCGGCCAAAAGTTAGCCATTACTGTTTTAGGCTCTTCCGACTCTCCTTTGCCAGCACCTTCACCCACCAGAACTCCAACCACCCCTATCACCCCTTGTCCGACATCTGGTCCCACTGGCTCGATGCCTCCGGGATCAGTACCGGACCCCAATGGGAGTACTAATGCTTCATCTTCGGCTGTTTTAGCCACTTTGTTGCTGTCCATGTTGGCCATTGTTATGGGTTTAATTGTCTAAGATAGTGGGAAAGGATGTCATTGTCCTCTTTACTTCATATGGTTTCTTTTTGCTTAGTGAGCAATTGGGGGTATATCATTGAATAAAGTTGTGATTCATTTCATTTGAAAATTTTGTACTAGTATATTTATTGCTTTGTTATAAGCATACGATGATCAATAAAAGTTTTTTTTTTAATTTTTATAAAATAAATTATGAGCATATATACAATGAATCAAGTGAGTTACCCAAAATATATTTATCAATAGAGCTCATATCAATTGTAAAGCTTGAAATTCAGGTTTGAATTTGGTTTGAGTTACCCATATTCACCTTGAATCGTAATTGATTTAGTGAGACTTGTTTCAACGTTATGTACTTCATTGATGTAAGATATATATAATAATTTGCTTTCAAAAAAAATTAAAATTCAAAACTCAATCTTAAATTGTGATTGATGAGTACACAATGTGAATAAATTTTAAAATATATACATAAATTATTTTTATTATATATTATAATTAAAATATTAAATGTATTTTAAATGTTTAATTAATTAAATATGAGAAATGCGCAATTGATATGAATATGGATTAAAAAATAAATATTCACCAACCCAAGCTCTAGTAATTCTCGAGTACTTGACTAATTAATTTATAATTTAAAACAAAGTTGGGGAGTTTCTGTCATTAATTAATTTTCTAATTTTATGACACGTTATAGTTATTACATGAATTAAAACTACATGAATTAAAACTACATGTATACGTAGTACACCTAAACCATAAACATAGTATAACGAAAATTATGAACTGATCCTTAATTAATTGAGGGTTTGGACTAATTATAAGAGGAGAGAAGACTATCTTTTATTGTGTAACCCTAAAATCTATTGAATATATATATATATATATATTTTAAAAACAAAATTTGGAGTCCTTAATTATACTTAAAAAAAACATCTTAAAGACAGATTTTTTTTTTTTGTGAAAAGCAAAGACAGATATTTTTGTTTGAAATTAGGGATGATATGGAATATTTATGAAGTTTAGATATTCTATTAAATAATAATATTCAAGTTAAGGTATTTCAAAATAATGAATATCCCACCTGTTGATTTCTCTATTTGAAATAATCAAACTTGATGGAAATGTTCTACCAAACGTAGACGGCATCCCACTCATACCTGAGGAACACAAAGACAAAAGGCAATGAGGACTGAAGGCATAGACCCAGTGTAGCGAAATGAGTGGTTTATTTGGAGTCAGGGCAACGGTCACACTCACTTTTGCTTTAGATTTCAAACATGCATTCCAACTTTTGATTGTTGGCAAAGTCTACACGTTGGTTAATGGCATAAGAAATGGGGAATTATAACACTAGTATTTGTGCGTGTGGAACCCAAGGGCAGACATTTAAAAAGGAAAACGACACATCGAGAGGCCGCAAATGGTCCCTAAAAGCCTTTTGTAATGTACCACATGGGCATAAAATGTTAATTATCATTAAATTTGATTGTTATGAATATTTTTATGAATACTCATTTATATTATTTATATCTAAATTTAAATATAAATTAGATTGGATCAACATTAGGATTTAATCTATCAATCTAATTTTTTATAAATTCTATTTAAATTAAGGGTTATTAGCCTCACTTCATTTATAAATGCACATTTGAATAAGATCGTTTTACTTCTTCTAAATACTTTCTCTTATATTTCTTTTATAGTTGTTCTTTCAGTTAAATTTTATATCATGTTATCAATACGATTTTCTAATATTTCAAGTTTTGGTATTATTTTGTTGTCATCATCTTCAAACTTTAAAAAGATTTCAATAATTGGATTTTGATTTTTGGTTTTAGCAAATCAGGTAAGTGTTGGTATTATTTTGTTTTCATCATCTCCAAACTTTAAAAGGATTTCAATGATTGGTTTTTAATTTTTGGTTGTAACAAATCAAGTAAGTAACTTGATATTTTTTTGGTATTTTCATTATCTAAAAATCAACCTTAATATGAATTCCACTATCATGTAGTATATATTATATTTTATCCCTTGATTGGAAAGTGAATTTATTATTATATAATTATTAATAAAAAATCATAAATATCCATTCCCTAAAGTGATTACGACAAACGAGCTACTAACAAAAATCATGAATCCATCTATTCTCTGAAGTGAATGTGATATCATTTAATAATTATGGTTATGGTCATAAATTCATCCATTCCTTGAAATGTCAGTTAATAATTATGATTATGGACATGAAAGAGGTTGCCGTAATAATTTGTACTATCACTATTTTAATTATAAAGAAAATTTTATCATCAAAAGTGAATAACCCACCAAGAAGTGGAAGAATACTTGTAACACACTAAGAAATGGATGGATACTTGTCACCCACCAAAAGTGAATGGATATTTTTAATCGACCAGAAGTGGATAAATAATGAAAAGATACAAATGGAAAGAACAAAATAAATATAGAAAACATATTGTCATTAATGTGGTATGAAAGATCATTGATCATAAACCTGTTGTATGTCTTGAATTTTATCAAGCATTAGTGAAAACTAAAACATCTTGTGATAATTTTGACCATGACCAAGTTGATATAACACATCATGATGTTTGCCCACCCTAAAAGAGGAATTGATTATTTGATTAGTAATGAAAATATCCATTATTGATTTCTTGTCTTGAAAAAGGAATTGATCATTTGATTGATAACGGAAATATCCAAAAATGAAATTTTGTAATGGTAGTTGGTATATTATAGTATAACTATATTATGAAGATGTATTAATATGTTCTTATTATATTTAACTAATATGTTCTTATTGTGTATTATAATATTTAATCTTTTTTTATGTTAACTTGTAAGCTTCTTATTGTATATATCTTATTTTAAAAATATGGATATTCATCTTGTTGGATTCAAGCTCCATGATGTAAATATGTCTTGTAGACATGGCTATAACACATTCTATATTTAAAGATAAGAATTTTTTTTTTTAGTTGACAACGGAGGAAGCTAATGTCAATACAATATCTGATAGTACAAGATTAATTGAAGGCTTCGAAAGAGTCAATATTTTTACTACTCAGAAGAATAAAGTTTATAATAAAAGAAACACTATTTTCTACTAAGTTTAAAAGAAACTTATTAAATTTTAAAGATATTTGTTGAATATTGAGACAATGAATGAAAGGGACAATTGATATCTCTATATTACATTTATTATCTCATGTAAGAATTATATAATAATAAAAAAAATTACCCCGTTTCGTTCTCTAGATTGTATTACACAAATATTAGAATGATTGAAACTTATGCTATAGTAAACTAGAAGTTTATTAATGATTTTAATATTTGACATGATTGGTTAAGCCATCTTTGATCAATAATAATGCAAAAAATTATTGAAAATACATGTAGTCATTCATTGAAAAATCAAAAGATTTTTCAATCTAATAAATTTTTATGTGTTGTTTGCTTTGGAGGCATATTAGTTATAAGGCTATTACTAACTAAAGTTAGAACTGAATCCTTTACATTTTTTAAAAACATATTGAGGGTGATATATGTAGACCTATACGTCCATCATGTGGATCATTTAGATATTTTATAGTTTTAATCGATGTATCGACAAGATGTCACATGTATACTTATTATCAACTTGCAATTCGGTATTTGCAAGATTACTTACACAAATAATTCGTTTGCGAGCACATTTTTTTGATTATGCAATTAAGAAAATTCGTGTTGATAATGTTGGTGATTTTACGTTTCAAGCTTTTAATGAATATTGCATATCAATTGGAATAAATGTTGAATAATCTATTACTTATGTACACACACAAAGGTGTCTAGCAGAATCATTTAATAATCTCTTTAAATTGATTGCAATGCCATTACTTTTGAAATCTAAACTCCCAATATCTGCTTGGGGGCATGTCGTTTTACAAGCAATAGCACTTATACGCATTAGGTCAATAAATTATCATAAATTCTCCTTTATACAATTGGTTTATAGTCAAGAACTAAATATTTTCCATTTAAGAATTTTTAGATGTGCAGCATATATTCCAATTGCTCTAACACAAAGCATAAAGATGGGCTTCAAAGGAGGTTAGGAATATATGTTAGACATGAATCTCCACCTATAATTAAATATCTAGAACCATCAACAAGAGATTTATTCATTACATAGTTTATTTATTGTCACTTTGATGAAACAATTTTTTCAACACTAGGGGGAGAAAATAAGCAATTGGAAAAAGAAATATCTTTGAATGTGTTATCATTATTTAGTTTTGATTCTTACACAAATCAATGTGTACTTGAAGTTCAAAATATAATTTTAATTGCAAAATATAACAAATCAATTACCAGATGTATTTATTGACCTAAAGAGAATAATTAAGTCTCATTTACCATCTACAAAAGCTCTTATTAGAATTAATGTCCTTATAACACAAGATACGCCAAAAATGTGAGAGAACAATTAGTTCCAAAGATAAAATCCTCGAAAGAGAAAGTGAGCAAATATACAAGATGGTCCAAAAAGAGGAAATAGAAACTCTAGAAGATACTCTTGACATAATTGATAAAATTTCAAAAGAAATTCAAGTACTTTGCATATAATGTAGTGCTTAATATTATGAAAGAAAATGAGGATGTTGAACTTGCATATATTGAAGAATGTAGATATAAAAATGATTGGCCAATGTGAAAAGACGCAATCAAGGTGGAATTCACTTGCAAAAACATAAAGTTTTTGGACCTGTAGTCCGTACATCAGATAGTGTAAAACTAATGGGATATAAAAAAGTATCTACGTGAAGATAAAATGAGAAAAATGAGATTATGAGATATAAAGCACAGTTTGCCGCACAATGTTTTATCCAAAGACCTAGAAATGAGTATGAAGAGATATATTCTCTATGATGGATGCAACAATTCTATATTAACTAGGCTGGCAATAAATAAGAAAATTGAAATATGTCTAATGAATGTAGTTGCGATTTATTTATATGGCTCATTTGATAATAATATTTCTATGAAACTCCTTGAAGGATTTGAGTTGCTTGAAGCACAAATTTTGAATTCTCGATAAATTTATTTGATTAAATTAAATAAATTTTTATATGAATTAAAACAATCTGAATACATGTGTTATAATTGCTTTAGTGAATATTT